GATGTGCTTTGTAAGGTCGCTGAGCTATGGCAGGTCAAAGTCAGGCTATGGATTCGTGGGGACAATTTTTAGAGAAACGTTCAATCTGATGGAACAACGGAGTGTTTGGCAAAGCCATACATCTCTGATATAGCTTCTTAGGCAAGACAACGATTGAATGAACAAATTCCATGGACCTAGGGTGAAATATTGAGGTCAGACCAAGGTCAAAACCAACTCATTTTATTTTTCTAGAGCTTGCTATTTGGTTTTATGGTGCTCATTTCAAATGTACTGATGATAGGAGCTGCATTATACATGTTCCATGTACTTCTGAAAGGTCAGAATAGACCTTGACCTAGAATGACCTAAAGTGGCCCAGGGCAACATTTTTTAAGGGATACTGCCTACCTAATTTTTGACGTTTGTTGCAATACAAAACTTAAATAACTGTTATATGACTGATCACTATGATCTTAGAAAGGTCAAACAAGACCACTAACCTTACTTGAGTATCATTGACCTTTTTCTTAGAACAGGTATCTAGGTCCTGGAGGCACTTTGGACACCAACCTGAAGTTGGATCTTGTTTGATCTCCTTGGACCCGAAGGTCACAACCCAGGAGACTCAAATGTTAACATAAGTGAGTTCACGCACAGGCCAGCAACACCCTGTGAATTTGGCATCTTTATTTTTTTCAATAGTTTTTTAGGTCTCGGGGGTCAAATTGACCCCCACACCACGAGCGAAGGGTAATCGCTTGGCCCCCCGGGTACATGTAATGCACCCATCTCTGTAGCATCTGAACCCTGCTGGGATGCTACAGTCATACTGTTATAGCACAACAGCCTGTTCAGAACTTTCCAGATTGAGGCTTGAACAACCGTCTCTCTTAATACCCTGCCGTGGGCGCGTTCAGCTACTACCGTTATCCATTCCTGCAATATTCGTGTATTTAGCGTCGAATAGATTCACGCAGGCAGTAGATTCACACCTATCATAGAAGCAGACAATGATGTATGTCATCCTTACAACTGACGTAAACTGGCTCAGCCATAACACTTAGCAAAGCACTTCATGTGTGTGGTGATGCGCAGCTCACTTTGCTTATGCATCTGCGTTCATTGCTAGTAAGCAATCTGTCGAATGCATGCCTGAAAAGACTGCGATTTGTGCGACTGACTGACGACATGCTCCATAAATCAAGCCTTGACAACTCTGCTCAAGAAAGGGTCCCAAAATTATATCTGGATGCGTCAAATGTATACTCATGATATTACTACGTTCCGCTAATCAGGATGTCAGGATCAGGATGTGCTATTAATCGTAATATCAGGATCAGGATAAGGCTTTATGGCTTTACAGTTTTTACCAAGGTATTGGATGTAACTTGAAGGCGTAGCACACTGCCTCATTTTCCCCTGATTAATTTTGCTATCTTCCTGTCAGGAGCCCTGTCTTAGTGCTTCAACAATGTAGCAAAACTTTAGCCTAGTGTGCTATCTTGGAGTTCTTTAAGATAAGCGTGTAGTGGAGCTACTTAACCTATATGCCGTGTTGTGTCCATTGGACAGCATAGTTTTAGCTGAAAATAACTCGCGTCAGTTGTATGGAACTCGCTGCATTTTGGAACACGTTTGGTACCCCTCTTTAGGAACAAATTACAAGACATTTTTCGACAGGCCCAACGCCTTTGGTGTAATGACCATACAGACTTGAACCGCGGTTGGAAATCAGGTATGAGGGCTTGACTGGAAGGCCTCTGACCAGATGGCTCCCCCGGCTCCGGAACTCCTGCGCGGGTAGCGAGGCGGCACCGAGCGCTGAGTTCAGAGCGGTCTCCTCACGTGAGTCGCCTACTGGTCCGTCGTGCACATGCTCGCGGGGGTGTGTCACTGTCTTGTCCGGAACCTTTCTAGACACCATGGGCGAGGTCGCTCGCCGTGCGAGTCCTGATTGAACTGCCGGCGGGTGAGAGAGTCTTGATTGAACTACCGGCGGGTGAGCGAGTCTTGATTGAACCGCCGGCGGGTTTTCAGCTGGACCTGGCGTCACGCCACGTAAAGGCCAATAGCTTGACCGCTGCCAACCGCTGGCTCGTGCCGTAATAACTTAGCACCCCCTCTGCAACTTCATGCAGCTGTCAGCAACAGGTACCTCGGCACGTGGGCTGCTGGTTCAGGCCGTTTTTCTGGTGCAACATTTCAACATAACCGAGGTCTAACATCCTCGTTTGATCAGCATGGGAAGATAAGGTTTGCTGGTAGGAAATGCGTGGACCACAGGGGTCCAAGCCGGATCCAAATGTCTGCTGCGCGGTGTCACGACACGAGATTAACCGCGTCCCCATGCGCGTCGTAGGTCACGCGTACAGGACTGTAAAATGTAGACCTGCCATGTTTGGGAGAATAAGCGTCAGATCCCAGCGATCTGAGGTCATAACGGTCTCAGGAAAAGGACGAGACCTAGTCAAGCAAACAAACAGCATTGCGGTGAAGGTGAATGTAAGGTACAAAGCACCTGGCTGGCTCAACATTGTCGACTCGAAATGGATTTGAAAGCAATACGCTGGAGGAAGCTGGCAATGTGGCATATTAAGCAATGGTCTCGAATGCGAGTCGCGGGAATCCAAACCATTGGTGTTGCAATGATGCAGGCCATACAAGCCTGCATCATTTCCCGCAGGCCATATTCCCATCATTTCCTGCAGGGCCACACAGGCCCGCAGGACACCTACCTGCGTCCAACATCTACTGACAAATGGCGTATTTGAACCTTTTGGAGAAAATACTAACAAACGTAACTTAATTACGGGATCAACGATTTTGTCCTCTGAAACGGTCGTGCTCCCGCAGGGCGCCTTCTGTCTGTGGCCAATGCATAGACAGCTGTGATTTAGCTCGCGAGCACTTCATCAGCGTGTCGCCTTACCAGCTGAGCTCTCATGGATGGTAGCATATGACCAAAGGTAAGACCATTTCCATAGACCCCCCCAAAGGCGTCCTGGTCTAGTATGTTAAAATTTTGGTTTTGATCATCGCTGCTGGAATAACAATACTCACCTCGTTACCACCTCGCTCTCAGTATATCAGTGTGTCTTACCGATAATACTACCATCTCCAGAATAGCAAAATCATATATGGATATATATATATATATATATATATATATATATATATATATATATATATGTACAACCATAACATGTTTTTTTTCAAACAATCATCACCCATCAGCTCATAGCACTGAGACCATGCAAGCAGCAACCCATCTCCTGTTCTTTGATCCAAAATGCGTATGAATTTAGCCTCATGAGATACTTGCTCGACCATCACTGGCATGAAACCGGTAGACCTCGCTGACACGCGCCCGGGCGGGCAGTTGAATACACATTACTTGAATACGCTTCCCCAAGATCATAAAAACTAAGAGAGCTAGGGACACCAAATTTACACGGTGGGTTGGCCTCTATATGAATCACAAGCAAGGTTTATCACATTTCTTGCACCAAAGGATCCGCTGTTCCATTACCTACAGCCATGCAAAGTTTAGCGTGGTTACATCGCACCGTTCAGATGTGTAAGAAATATTGGGGGGGGGGGGGCGGAACAAACTGACCCTCCCCCCCCCGCTGCATATTGAACCTTGCATATCGCAAGGCACGCCAGCCCCTCCACCAACGTGACCCAAACTAAGCGATTATTTTATCTTACCCCGTTATGCAAATGAGGCTGGGTGGCTGTTATCGTGCCGTGCAGTGGCGCGAGTCGGCCGCCCGTGGCAAAGATCTCCGATCGTCTTTGGTGGTCCGCTGCGAAAGGACGCTCGCCGTTAGTGACCAGCGCTATGAAAAATCATAGATATGAAGATAACTCCTCTGCTATCAGCTAGTTGTTCTGCCCTTTCCCTTGCATGTCTACGGAGCGAAGTGTATATGCTGCTGAGTGGTATATGCTTTGCATCTTGGAGCATTTTGCGTTCAAGGTGATTAAGTGTTCTAAAGGCCATCGTTCATTTCCCCCGATCTGTTAAGCTCACCGTAACCATCAATTTAATGTCAAACTCATTCACATAGAACAACTCGCTGTAGTTTAGAGGCTTGTTTGGAAGACGCAATTAATGAGAGACGTCAGCACTGAAAGTCAGTTTGCTTGACGCTCTAACATCGCTTTTCTGTAGTTCTAGTGGTAATAAACTGCTCAAACTCTCTGTTATCGAAGTTTCCCCAAATGATTAATTCAAAATGGCCACGAAACTTGCGCTTCCCAACAAAACAAAGTAGTAATGATATGATTTGCGGCCGGATTGGCCGCGGTGTGACCTGCATGTCATGTGGGGACGGGGACGGGACGGGACGGGACGGGACGGAAGGACGGAGGGACGGGACGGGACGGAACGGAACGGAACGGAACGGCACGGAACGGAACGGAACGGAACGGAACGGCGGAACGGAACGGAACGGGACGGGACGGGACGGGACGGACGGGACGGAGACGGAGACGGAGACGGAGACGGGGAGGACGGGGATGGGGACCGGGACGGGGACCGGGACGGGACGGGATCGGGACGGACGGGACGGGACGGACGGACGGGACGGGACGGGACGGACGGGGATGGGACGGGACGGGACAAGCTCACTGACACAGGTGTGAGCCGCCTCGGCCAGGTGAACTTTGCGCTTCGACCCAATGGAGCCGGCGCCACGCGTGTTCGCCGGCGCGCCGGCCGGCCAAGCTGGTGACCCAGGTGCGGGCCCGCGACCGGCGCGACCCGGCGCTGCGGCCCACCTACTCGCTGCCACAGGGCGCCGACTACGCCCAGTTCAGCCTGGATTAAAGAGACCGGCCAGATCCGCACCAGGAGGTGAGTAATGCAGTCGCCGCCGCCCCGGCCTGACGGGGCGGAGCCTCCGTTGGACTGGACCCCAGGGGGTGGCCGTCCGGGCTGGACAACGGGGGGAGGGGACAGCCACCGCCACCTCGGTCGCCGGGCCCTGGTCGGACGCCGCCGCGCTACCAACATGACGACCGTATTTCGGTGCGTTGGTATTCACTCAACACTCTTGTCCTTTTTCTTGTTTCATCCTGCATGCTCGCCACACCCCACTTTTCTGGGGCAGGCTGCATGAGTCAGCAACGAGTGGACCGAGAGGCTCCCTGGGAAGGGAGACCCCGACCGGTACCCAACGCACAAGTGCGTGTTAAAGCTCGGCGCCCCCCCCCCCCCCCCCCCCCCCCCCGCCTACCCCGGCGCATGCAAGCCTGCTCCACCGTTAACCATTCTCCTTCATCCCATAGCCCTGAAATGATTGTTTCTGTTCGAAAGGGCTCTAATCCAAATAACACACACACACGCGTAAACCTTTGGTAGAACTATTTACTTGGAAGCGTTGGGGTTCCTTGCAGATGACGTAGAGGAGGAGGGGACTTGGGTGCCAGCTCTGTTCATGCTGCGAACTTCCAACATGAATTAACTAAAATTCATGTACAAGGGGCAATGACGTTAAGGTTCAGGGACAGGTTTTGCCACATGAAACTCCTTCAACCACCTCAGATCGTATTATAACTGTGTTCGTGGTCTGTGTGACCAAATGTGTTCTGGCATGGACGAAGCTAGCCGTTATAGCATGGTTGCACATACTTAGCTCAAGCTTTTGAGTGTACATGTGTTCGGGTGACTGATGGTTACATCACGACCAGACGACCCGTCCATAAATTAATGTGGTGCGATGTGATAAACATGAT